AATCTTTCATACCTGTCCCTAGTTTTCCTGCCTTACTTAGGTGCTCAACAAATATTTACTGAAGGAATAAGTAATGATTATTTTTACACTATCTTCTTTCTGTCTTTAAAAATATGTAATATTTTTATAATCAGAAAAAAAAACACCAAGAAATCAGTTTCCCCATAAACCCGAAAATTGCAGCTAGACTGGTGTTTTGTTTTCTGAATGTAATACTTTTTAAAATTCTAGACCTCCACGGAAATTTTGTCAAAAAGGCCCAATCCTTAAATTAACCCAGATCATTCTAGGAATTATTTCAATGCCATTAACTGTACTTCCATTTCCTGGAGATCACTATTTTCTTCCATTGTGTAAGTAATATGGGGAAAATTCTTTGGACGAAAACTTATCAAAATTAACAGCGTTATCAAATTGAATTCTTTTCTATTACCCAGAAGTAAGAAAGCTACTAGAAAAGAAAACCATGTTAACCTTTGAAAATTATTTGAATAGAGACTTTGTAACCAATTAACTACTCTTGATTAACAAAAATCCTGTCAATCTAAGTGAACACAGTACATTTCATACATTTGTTATTTGCTCCTGGAAGTACTTCGGATAGTGGCAAATTTTTCTCATTGGGACAGCCGCTTCCAGGACCAGTCCAGTTAGAACTACTCAGAACTTTCTCTCATGAGTTTGTGTGTCCGAGTGGTATTCTGAGTCTGCTAAACCCTTTGGCTTCTCTCAATTCTGCCTTCCCCTGGTGTTCAAACTGGAAGGTGCTTATATATGTATACTCTTGTGTGGTTTCAGTCCATGTTACTATGTGCTGCTTTCCTGATCACCCATCCTTGGTTTCCTGTCCTCAGAAACATTGTCATCATGCTTTATAGAACCCAACTTTACTATTTAAAACAAACAAACCCAACTCCTTTATGTCTTTATCCTTGCAGATTGTTTAGTTGGGTTCTCTGGGAAGCAGACACTAAAATGGAGTCAGGAGTGCAAGGGGGTTTTTTTTAGAGGGTAGCACCTGTGAAAGATGAAAGGGGAGGGAAATAGGATTGGAAAGGGAATACTCAGGTGCCAGTGCAGATCTGACCAGGTCTCAGTCAACCCAACAGAGAGCTAGAAAACAAAGACTGGTGATTACACGGGTTCTGCATGGGAAAGAATGGCAGGCCCCATTGTCTCTGCCATGTTCAGTCCCAGGCTGGAGCTATCCAGGAAAAATGGCCTACCCTCAAAAGCTGAGGCAGATTCCTCAGGAGCTAATATCTGGAGCCACCAGTCAACTGTATTCCTTGTGGCTGAGCATCAGTGTTTTTCTGGAAGGGAGATCAGAGACCTGCAACTCCAGTGCAGCCTCATAGATTAATTCCTCCTCTGCCTCACCTCTGCAATCTTAAACTCCAACTTTCTTCCCACTCACTCTAATGCCCCATCTTTCCACCATTCACTTGCCTGTTGTCAGTATATCTGCTCTTCAATTTCCGGAGAAACTTCCATCCCTTTATTCTCTCAGCCTTCTTTCAACATTTCAGCTTTCTCTTGATTTCACTGTTCTCTCCAGAGAGGCTAGACCCAGATGCCCATTGCTTCACCCATTCTCTAGTCAATATCCTTAAATTCTTTGCCCCTTTCCCTACGTGTCCACACCACAAAATCCTGTGATTTTATCTGCCTTCTTTATTCCTATACTCAAACTGCTGGCTTTAGCTAAAGAAAAATCATACAACACCACAGATTAATGTCACATGGTTTCCAATCTTAGCCGAACCCTAAACATTACACAGAAATCCTATAATTAGGTACTTCCTTCTTGCACAGCATCTGAAGAAAAATCTTATAATTTGTTTTGCAACATATTAAAGATCATGATGGGAAAAGCATGGGCTTTGGGATCATATGGATTAGGTTTGGATGCTAGCTCTTTACTGCCTGTATGACCTTACTTCTCTGGGTCTTTTTCTCCCAAGCTTTAAAATAGAGCTAAGATTGCCTGGTGATGACAGATTGCTTTATTTATTTTTAAATTTTAATTCTAGTATAATTAACATAGAGTGTTATATTAATTTCAGGTGTACAATATAATGATTCAGCAATTCTATGCATTACTCAGTCTCATCATAATAAGTGTACTCATTCTTAATCCCCTCCACCTACTTCACCCATCTCCCCCATTCCCTTCCCCTCTGGGAGAACAAACCCCCAGTTTGTTCTCTATAGTTGTGTCTGTTTTTTGTCTTTTTTTTCCTTGTTCATTTTTTAAAAAATTATTTTTATTTTTTAATTTATTTTTTAAAAGATTTTATTTATTTGTTTGACACAGAGAGACACAGCAAGAGAGAGAACACAAGCAGGGGGAGTGGGAAAGGGAGAAGCAAGCTTCCTGCTCAGCAGGGAGCCCATGCAGGATGCCAGGCTCCATCTCAGAACGCTGGGCTAATGACCTGAGCCAAAGGCAGCCGCTTAACCACTGAGCCACCCAGGCGCCCCTATTTTTATTTTGATGACAGGTTGTTTTGAAGATTACATAAAATATTTAATTGGTTTAGTGAGGAGTCTCAGTTCATTTAAAATATATATTCTAAAGTCTCACGACTGCTATCAACTATACTTTATTAAAAAGCTGCCTTTCCACTGAGTTCATCTAAATCCAATTCCATAATATTTTGACCATTTTAAGTTATTAAAACAGTCCTCTTCTCCAGTAGTGCTGGTTAGGCAGCAGGCTGTGTGTGTGTGTGTGTGTGTGTGTGTAGTGATGGTATGAGCTGCTTTCTTAAACTCCACCCTTCTCTCCATACACTTATCCTTCTGGTGTCTGAATAGGAAGACAGGCAGGGGAGAACTTGTCTCTTTATACATTGTCAAGTTTGCTGTCCCCCTTCATTGTAAATGACCTTGCATCTTTTCTATAGGTTCAGTATGACCACGTGGTGACCACAATAAGTTCCATTCACAAATATGTCAGTCCTAAGCAGTTTCAGTAAACACTGCTGGTACCTTGGAAGACTTAACTTTGTCTTTCCTTTAAGTTCCATCCCTCCCAGCTTTGCCTCCCACTTAAAAGACTGCTCCATAATTTAGTGGTTCATGTCTTACCTACTTTCTCATTGGCCATTACAACCCAACTTTAGAGCCAAAGGTACAGATGGGATTAATTTTCTGTATCACCCAGGAATCATGGACTTGAAATGAGATATCCTCACCCTCTTGGCCTGGGCCACACCACAGATGAGGAAATTGAGGCACAGACAGGTTGAATAACCTATATGTCTTCTATTCACCTTTGTATAGTTGAATGTATCTGCTAGGAATCCAACTAAAATTTTTCAAATCCATTGTCAAAAGAGTTTCTTAGTTCCCTTTTTTCATTATTATAAATAATTATTTGAGATTACAACAACCCACAATAAATTCAGTAATCTGTCATTTTTATGATCTGGAAGAGGTTATATATCAAAGCCCTTGTAACACCCTTGATACACCAGAATTATCTGTCCCTTGGAATTTTTTAGACTTCATCCACAAATCTGCCCCTCTCAAGTGGTAATTGTTCTTTAGGAGCTATTTCAATTGTTACTGGATGTTTTAATTTTTCTACATTTTGTTGGTTTTGACATTTTTATATTTTTGTAAACATTAACCTCTCTGAGTTTTCCTCATATTATGCACATGATAGTTCCTTCTCATTTTAAAATATCACTTTTATCCTCTGTTGTATCACTCTAAGATAGTTTAACTTAATCAGATCAGAGATTCATATCCAAAGAATTTAAGATTTATAAATGCAATGTTTATTTTTCATTAAAAACTTTTTTTGAATGCAATATTTCAAATGAAGAATTTAATATGGTTTGATATTAAATATGGTGTTTTTGGTACTTTTTTACTCTTTTATGATCTAGTTTATACTTTTAAAAGGTCTCCTTCCAAAACATTAAGAATCTAAATTTCACCTAAGCAACTGTATTTAAACACACACATATCTACACACATGCACAGAAACATACACAGTCATTATTTTCATTACTTGCTTTTATTATTGCTGCTTACAAGAACAATTACCAGAATATTTAAGTTCAATAATAAATGTCCGCTTATAAGATTCTCCTCATGGTTTTTTCATACTATCATAACAAAACAAAAATATGCCAATTTACAACATCAGGCTTGGTCCTGGTTAGGTAGTTCTTAGGCTCTTAAATCTGTGCTATGATAAATTTTAATCATTTTGAGAACTATGGATACTGGGTGTGGGGGAATCAGAGTTCATTATATACTCAGAATCTATATAAATAAAAAAGTGGTTACAATTTACTTCATATACATAATATTCTTGCTTAGTATTTGCTATTTTAATTGCATTAGATCTGTATCCTTCCAAGTTTAATTAGTAGGAACACAAAAATTTTTATCTTTGGTGCCAACTACCAAAGTAGAAAGATGTTTTTACTATTTCCTTTTACCCTGTAATTGGTATTGAAATATTTTACATAGTCTCAGCTTCACATGTTCTTTTGTGTGTGTAGCAGCATGCCCTCCACACTGGCAAAAAATACATAGAAAACCTGAGCAAATGATTAAAAACAGAAACAAAAACACTGCTTAGAATTGAGTGGAAGTTGGGAGAGTTTGGGAATAACAAATAAATATAAACTCACAAAAGATCAAGATATATCTGTAATAATTCATGCATTTCCTAGAACTTTATAAAAAATTTTGGTGTTTAATAAATACTGTACCTGTTATGAGACTATGGTAACTATAAATCATGAAAACAAAGATACTTTGATGTAGCTATATAGGTTCTGATAATTCTTTCTGGAATTTTTTATTATTATTTTTTAGGCTTCTTTCTGAACCTCAACTATTCAAGTTTTCTAAACTTGAATAACTATTCAAATGAACTAATGCACATTTAAATCAGGAAAAGTAACCCGTCACATCCTTTCATGTTTCTCTCACTTTCTGTCCTCAGGAAGAGCTGATCCTTGGGCCAACTGCTCATGATTTGGAGAAATAAATGGAACTCTATGGGTGGGAGACTAAATGTAAAACTGCAATCAGATAAATTACAACATAGATGTGGTTAAGTAATAGACTACACAACTAAATGTACTTTAACCTCTAAAATCTTTAAGCACCCCCGAAGTGTTTAAATAGAAATGCAAGGCCTCTGTTAGCAAACTTCTAAAACACAAAAAAGCATCACTGGACTCAAAGTCTTGTTGAGGGTAGAGGCTTGCTTTTTAGTTTATCTCTTATTCATGTACCAGGTATAAAACCCTCCTTCTACAGTGCGCCACCAATATTTATTAAATGAACCCTTTTGTATCTAAATGTTGGAAGGATCCTAATATTGCCAGTGAAAAGATTTAAGGAGAAGATGCTGCACTCTTTTGTCCTTCCTCAAGATACATAATCTTGTACTCTGGGTTCAGGTGAAGAGTGGGAAGTGACCAACGTAGGAGGAACTTGATGGTGTAGGGTGTAAGGAAGTTATTCCCATTGCATGCTTTGGTGCTATTTTGACTCCTTCCTCCCTAGTTGCTTATCTGAATCACTGGGCTACTAGATTAAAATTTACGGCCCCTCCCTGAACCTTCTGGTCTTTTTCTTTTCTGCTTTTTCCTGCGCACATTCTTCTATAGGAGATATTTTGCTATCTGCTCCCGGTGCCCCGCCCGCCTCCACCGCCCCCTCCCCGCGCCCCCGCTCCCCGCCATTGAATTTGAGAATTCAGGAACACGACTTCTTTTCTATCCCCCAAAGTGATCTATCAACGATGCTTCTGCAATGCATGATGACTTTAATCCCAATCCCAAATAAGACTGGGAGTCCCTCAATCCCTCCCGGGCTAGCCTTTTATCTCAAGCAGTTATGCAGCAGGGACAGGTCTTCCACGTCTCTTTCAGAGAGATGCCCCGAGGCCATGAGGGATTACCCAAGGGAGGGCGGTTCCGAAAGAACTGGTCCCGGGGGCCAGCTCTTCTCATCTTCTCTGCTCAGCCGACAGAGAGATAGGATGGGGAGGGAGGGATGCAGCTGGTGCGTGGAGGCGACCCCTCCTCAATAGCTGGATGAGCAAAGGGTAAGCTGCAGGACCAGTCCGCAGTTCCCGCCCCGCGCCGCGCACGCATTATGTAAGCGCCGGAGGCCACGCCCCCGTCAGGCCCCGCCCCCACCCGGCTCTGACTCGGGCTCAGGCTCTGCGGGCGGAGGGGGCGGAGAGAAGACGCAGCTGCAACTTCGCCTGGAGGTTCTGAGCCTACCCTGGGCTTAGCCGGGAACCCAGCCGCCGTCGCCGCGGAGCCGCTGCTTCCCCGGTCCGGGCCTCAGCCCAGCGGGCCCGGCCATGGCAGCCGCCGCCCCCGGCGCCGCGGCCAATCTGGCCCCTGCGCTCCCCGCCAGTCGCTGAGCAGCCGTTAACCACACCGCCCGCCCGCCCTCCCGCTCCTGTCGCCGCGGCCCCAGGCTCTGCACAAGTTTCCGCCGCCGAAGAAGCAGGAGGAGAAGGCGGGGGAGGACGGACGAGGGGAGTCGTGCGTCCCCGGCCCTCCCGCCCGCTATGTGGGGGCGCTTCCTGGCCCCGGAGGCCGGCGGCCGGGACAGCCCCGGCGGAGCCCGCAGTCTCCCGGCGGGTAAGTAACGGGACAGTCACCGGCTGGCGCGGGGGTTGCGGCCGACTGAGGCGCCTCGGGACCCCGGTGCCGCTCCCCTCCCTTCTCAGGCCTGGCTTCCCTCCGGCCGCCTCCCCGACGCCGCCGCGCGCACGCCCGCCGGGTTTCCTCCCGACTGCAGACACCCGGGCCCCGCGGGCTGACATCTGGCGGGCCGCGTCCCCGGCCCCGTCTGCCCCGCATCACGCGGCTCGGCTCCAACCAGCTCCTTCTCGGGCCGCAGCCCCCGCGCCCCAACTTAAAGCTCGCCTGGGCCTCCTCGGGTTGCGCTTTGTTGTCCGACCTCTTCCCTTTCCCTCCTGGGTTGTGTGGTCAACGCGGGTAGCAGGGCTTACGGGGGACCTGAGCGAGAAGGTCGCTGCGACCGTGCTGCGGCGGCGGCCCGGGGCACGCTTGGGAGGGCCGGGGTCTGCGGCGCCCACGGCAGCAGCTTCTACTTTTGGGGCGTTTTGGGGCGGGAGGATGTTGCTGGTGATGCGGTCTCTTCCGTGAGTGATTCCGGAGGGGACTTCTGCCCCTCGGTGAAACCGGGTCACCTCCCCGCAGCCCTCTCTGGCGTAAGAGGAGGACACGTCTTGCATGAGCTAGTCGATCTTTGAGCAGTGGGAGTGTTAATGCGTTTGCTTCTCGCTGGCCCCTTCAAAGAATATTTGGAGATTGCCGCGTTCGGTGTGTGAAGGGAGCGGTTTGTATCGGACAGCCATTTCATGCCTGCATCTGCTTAGAAGTTGTGTAGGATCCACCAAATTAGGATAAACGCCCCCCCCCCCCCCGCCCTGCCATTCAGGATAAAAAAATAGTAAGGCTTGGATTGCCTGTGACAAGTTATTTGACACTGACGGTTCCTCCAGTCACTTTAATTGGATCTTGAACCTTTTCGGGAAGCTGAAAGTTATGTAGGCCTTTTATGCAGAAAAAAATTGCCTTAAGTACAGACGCAAAATTTTCCCCACAATTTTAGGTGTTTCCATAACTTCTAGGTAACCTTGTTCCACAAAATGTTTGAGTTCCGCTTGTAACTGACATTTTGTGTACATTCAAAGCTATTTGCAAAGCAAAAAGGAGAAGCAGTATTTGGAAGTGGTGAATTTTTTTTCTGATAGTATTTTCTGCTGTTTGAAATATATCAGGCACAGTTGCTATTAAAATTTCAAATAACACAATTTTGTGATAGTGTAGAAATTTGTGATGTGTTTTTTTAGGCATATGATTTTACCAGTTACTGGGGGGATGCAATTGACAAGTAGAAATTGTATGTGCATTTAAGGTGTACAACTTGTATAAATGCATCATGAAATGATCTCCGCAATCAGGTTATTTAATATACCCATCACCTCATAGAGTTAACCATATTTTTGTGAGTGGTAAAAACACTTAACATCTACCCACTTAGCAAATTTCAAACATACAGTACAGTATTGTTAACTGTGGTCATCATACTGTACTTTTAGATGGAGAAATATATAAATTTTAAAATCCAGGGTTAGATTTAAAATCATTCTCTTAAATCTGGTCTTGCAACACTTTAATAAGTAATGGAATTTAATAGGCATGCATTTAGTAAGAAAAACGTGAGTAGGAATTATTTTCTCTAAGATGTATATTACTTGTCGGAAAAAGGGGAGACTGCAATTAAGAGGTTTCTGATGCTTACTGAATATTTGGAAATTCTGCAATCAAAGTAACTCCAGTAAGTGAGAAGACAGTTCATTATCCCTAGGGGTTGGATGGAGTGCTTTCAATTTACATGTCAGAAGCCATCTGTAATGTCTTTGTAACCTAACCTCTTTAAATAGATTTGTAATAATATGTTTGGAGGTGTAATATCACCCAAGCATTGTATCCATTTTTCCATGAGGAAGAAAACATCCTAGTGCTTAGAAGTTAAGTAACTGAAGGAAGGACTTTGAGGTTGTATTGCAGCCTTTAGACCTTCCCTGTAGCAGAGAACATAGTGGAAGGAGATACTTTATAAGCAGTACCCAAGATGAAGTAATTTGGACAGGATATCTTTACAAAGCATATATTTTATCTAATTTTTTTTTTTTTTTTTTTTTTTTTTTTTTTTTTTTTATAAAATTTTTTTTTTTTTTAATTTTTTTTTTTTTTTTTTTTTTTTTTTTTGGTAGTGATAAACCATTGGTATGTCAGGACATGCCTTTCCAAAAATTTTTTTTTTTCAGCTTATAAGCTGAGAGTTGATTACTTTTACAGTAATAATGATAAAATTTTTGTTATGCTTCTTTATTGAGCAAATAAGTTTTTTATTTTTTAAAGATTTTACTTATTTGAGAGAGAGAGATGAGATAGTGAGAGAGAGCATGAGGGGGAGGAGAGGGAAAAGCAGCATCTCCACTGAGCAGGGAGCCCAATGCAGCCCAAAACCAGGACCATGATCCAAGCTGAAGGCAGACTCTTAACCAACTGGGTCACCCAGGTGCCCCATGAGCAAATAAGTATTTAAAATTATTTTTTAGTTAGTTTTATGAAGTTATACCATAGATGAAAAACTTAAGTGTAGTTTTTTCTACAAATGAGCAGATGGTGAAGGTCAAGATAATGACCTCTGAGTTGATTTATGCAGGGATTTCTTTTCCTTTTTGAGAATTTGAAGAAAATTTATATTTTTGAAATAATGTCCAGTATATCTTTTGACTAAGTTGAGTGATTTTAGGACTTTCCTGAAAACAAAGGGCTGTCTTCTGATTGATTTTGTCAGCAATCGTTTTGGTCCTGAGGGCCAATGCAAAGACCAGGGGTAAGTAAATAATTGCTGCTATTGAAATGAGTTTATTTCAATATGTGGGTTAATTACGGGTATCCTAAATAGAATTTGTTTATGCAAATATCTAACCAGACTAAGGAGAAAATGAAGGGTAACATAGAATCAGCTGAAAATACTGAAGGGAACTTTTTTTAAGTAATGGCAGTAAAAACAAATAGTAATAACAAGTGTGAGTTGGAAAATCCTGAACTTTTGGCCTTTTCTTTAGGATTTAATTTTGTTTTGGTACCTATAGTTTTTCAACTTTATAGAGTAACTGTATATAAATGTAAATAAGATTAATATGTTCTTATATTTCGATACAAAGAAAAAAACAAAAGTCCCCTGCCCCCACCTCTTTTTCTATTGACAAGTAGGGTTAGAAAGTTAATTTTAAATAGAACAAGGGGGGGGGGCGCCTGGGTGGCTCAGTTGGTTAAATAGAACAAGTGGTATGTCTTTTATGTTTTTGGTTGAGTACATTTAAGAATACCCTACTATTTAAACTGTATAATAGTTTTAAAGTTGGTTGAAGGATGGGTATATTTCCCTTAGGTTTTTTTGTTTTGTTTTGTTTTTTAGAGAGGGAGGGGCAGAGGGAAGAGAAGAGAGGGAATCTTAAGAAGGCTTTATGCCCAGTGCAG